GAACAATGATCTATGGTGGGTGACTCCTCGCCGTCGTCGCCTGGGTTGTTATTGACAGCGAGGTTGGCCTTGCTGCCGGTCTGGGAAATCGTGGCCTTGGAGGCAGCCTTCCTTTGCTTCAGATCCTCCCACCAATCTGGGTAACCAATGATTTTAAAACACCCCTTTTTGGTGTGTTTCGTTCCCCCACAGTGGCTGCACTTCAGGTAAGTCTTGTCCTCTCGCCGGGATGAAGTGTCCAACCGGTGTTGAGCGAGGAGCCCACTACCGATTTCTGAGGGACCTTGTCCCAATGATGAGTCGCCGATCATTATACCGCGACGAGTAATTTCTCGTCTTATGGTTGCATATGAGGCATCAATGGTGGGTAAGGGGTCTAGATGTAGGATATCCCTCTTTTCTTTGTCCAAAGTATCACTAATTCCGGCCAGAAATTGGTAAAGCCTTTGTCGTTGAATGAATGTATTGAACAGGGTGATATCCTCTGCACACCTCATTGGATTTGGCATCCTTCTGTCTATTTCTTTCCAGAGGGTATTCAGTTTACTAAAATACACCTCTATTGTTTCTGTTCCTTGTTTCAATGTTGCTGCCTTACAGTTCTGATCGTAGATCTGCAATTCGTCCCTTCCGCTGCTAAGAAGGGTTTCAATTCCCTTCCATAAATCCCAGGTAGTTTTATAGTCCAGGAATTGATTTACTAAATCGCTATCTATATTCTCAATGATCCAGGATAGGACCATAGAGTCCCTCTGTGCCCATTGTTGATAGTCTGGATCATCTGGTGGAACGGGGTTGGCTATGATATGATTGAGCCTACCCCGACCACCAATAGCTATTTGCATCAGTTTGCACCATTTGGTGTAATTGGTGAAATTCAGTTTTTCGGCAACACGCACCACTTGTGATGTGCCGTTTTCTGGGTTGTTGGGTTGTTTGTTCATTTTCTGGAATAGCTGGAACATATGTTCCATCTGTTCCATGGATATTAATTGGTTGGTGGTCGCTGGCTGTTCAGTCATTGTAGGTAAGTGATGGTAGATGATGAGAATCGAAAAAAAGGTTTCGAATTCCCAAAAACGAACCTTACGCTCTGATACCATGAAGAAAATAAGCGGAATCGTGTTTTGGTATTGAATACCTTTTTTGTGTTAATTGTATTGCTGTGATTATTGTTATTTTTATACACAAAGGCTAAGCAAAAATAAGGTAACAACTACCAAAAATATAGCCTAAATAAAATCAGAATAATCTTGATAAATATTCTGTTCCTTTAATTAAGGAACCGAATATGGCTATTTTCTACAAAAAGGTCAATTGAATGATTACTTATTGATTATTGTAATAATCTAAACTGATTGAGCATATGGAATTGATTTCATCACCTTGTACCATAGTGGGCCGTTTAGTATGTTGGATAAGCATTGTAATGATAAGAAGTTCAGATGAGAATAAGAAATCGGTAAGTCAAGACGGATAATAATACTGTGAAAGTTGCAGTAAGACAAGGACTTAAGCAACAAAGCTCAAATTTCAAAAAGCCATGAATATGAATTTAAAAACAGATGTGCACACACTTTTAAATAAACATTAGATTAAGTCTTGTACCACGCATGCGACTTTTACAAATGTTAATTTAAAATCTACCAAAAAATAATCCTCATATTTTTAAGTAAAATTGAAAAAGTTTGAAACTTAATTTATACCAGAATTAAGCTTCGAATTCGGATTAGACCAAACGGTGGACTAGGTAGAACACCAAAAAATAGTAAAATATATAGAATAATATTTTATACAATAAAAATATGGAAAATATGTGAATATTTTTTTAGGAAGTGAATCACAATTATATGAATTGGTGAATATTTTTTTTAAAAAAGTGAATCACAATTATATAAATAAGTGAATTTTTTTTTTTAGGAAGTGAATAAAAAAAATATAAAGAAAAAAAGTTTTGGAGGAAAAAAAACAACATCAAGAAGTGACACGAGTCATTCTTTGGTGTCTATTTTAGTATTATGTTATTGATTGATTGATTTCTCAAGTTCAACTATGCCATCTATAACAATGGAACCACTTCATCATGCCAATGTAAGTAAGAAGAGTTATACAGGTCCGGAAAAACTCTACTATGACCAGTCACGGGTACAACATTGATCACATACAGCTTCTACACCATCCTATCCCAATTTTTGAGATCACAAATCAGTAGCAGGTAGAAGATTTCGACAACATACAACTTCCTTAACATCCCATTTGTGACTAATATCGATGTTTATGCTACTCTACTTATCATGACTGTATTCAAGCCATAACATAAGGTTAGCTTGTTGGTTCGCCGCTAAACTATATCGCTACTTATCATGGCTGTATTCAAGCCAATAACATGAGGTTAGCTGGTGGGTTTGTCGTTAAACTATCAGTGATAAAACAATATTTGTCTCTTAAAATTAAGTATCGTCTATAAAATAATTCGTAAGTGAAAATTTAAATTTGATAGTGATTGCACCAAATTTGTTTGTGAATATTAAGTATAGTCTATGAAATGACAAACTTTGTTAAAAAATAATGTCAGTGTAGTGAAAATTGTAGTATCAAATACTATAACTTCTTAAACCGTGAAAAATAGAGCAAAATTGACACAATCACAAACTTCATTCATGGGGAGATGGATTCAATAGCAACTTTGTCCTTAATTAAAAGACGACTTTTCATCCCACAAAAATCCTCACACTAAACCCAAGAGTTCTACTGATTTGGGAAAAGTGAATCAGATATTTTTTATTTTTTTTTTAGTTACACAACAATACAAATACTTTGTTAAGTATAACATTTTGGGGATACAAAGAAAGTGGGTCCACTATCATATTTTTTAAGAGAAAATATTGTGTGCTAGGGATAGGAGCCTTTGCACGGTGCTTGGGTAAGAATTACCCCTTGATTTGCACAACTAGAGGTTGGAACGACTCCCGTTCTACGATAACATAGGCCTTGTTTAGCGGAAGCTACTTGTAATGGTGTCAGTTAGTTTTACTCTAATCTAACTCGAGTGCGGAAACAACCCTTTGATTAAATCCATGTACAATTCAAGAGATTAATCCAAGTATAAATCTGCTTTAAAGATCATACCTTTGAAGCGTGCTTGTTAGTATGAACGGGGCCTAAGAACCACCAATGCAATTCCTCTACTGAATAGTCCACCTGCACGATCAAACCCACTTTGAGTGTGTCAATTTAGAATACCAGACAATTCTCTCAAGGTTGTGTAATTAGATCTTTGGTTTTACTTTTAGGAGGCAGTATTAATTATGTAATATAATTGTTATATTCATCTAAAGAACATGTTGTATTTTTAATAAATAATCACCCCTTCAAAGTAAACCTAGTAAAGTTAGGAAAATCGTCCACAAGGATCAACTTGCCTTCCAAGTCTCACGCATGACTGCCAGCATACAAGCCCACAATTAGGTGCATCTAAATAGCTCAACCACGGGGCAAGGCCTCGCATATAGCACCCCTAGACAAGCATGGGCCAGCGGGCTCCTGGGTCTTGTGCTCTACCTTGGGCGTTGTTACTGGGCTTGTGATGAGTGTAATTTATGGCACTCATAAAGTAGTTGTCTTCTTTGTTTTATGCTCGTATTTAGCTTCTTTTGTGGTGTTTTTAGGTAATAATGCTTGCTTTACGTGCTTTGTGTTAGTTTAGAGAAATGCATATTTTAAATGGTTTTATTTTCCTTATTACGCATTTCTTGGCTATTCTCTCGCATCTCTGTTTGTTTGGCTTGTTTTGTAGGTGTGTCGAGTTTCTCGGGATTCAAATTCGAGGAGGAAGTTCGACAATAGCTATGGAAGTTAATAAAATCAAGTTCGAGAAGCTAGAGCACAAGTGAGCCAAGTTAGAAGACAAAGCAAAGCACCCAGGGCAAGTGCCTAGGGCAAGATTTGCAAACTTGCCCTAGTTCCAAGGAGTCGAGTTCCTATTTTGGGCAAGTGCTAGCCCAGCGCCCGCGGCCAAAAAGCTTGCCCGAGTCCCCAACTCTGCCCCAACACACCTGAGTGTGCCACACTTATTTTGAAGCAATTGAAATGCACCGCTCCACGGTACCTGCACCGACGCAACGACAGTTGTAACGTTTATAGGCACTGCAACTGTAACACCCTAGAAATTTCCTCCTTTTCAAAATACCTGTTTTGCCCTTTAAAATACGAAATAGGATATAACTAAGACATTATCGCCACTGTGATAATGGCTAAGACATTTATCAAGGACACACAGCAAAAGACTCTTTTCAAAACAATTCAAAATAAAACAAAGTCCAACCGTCAAACCAAACGAAAGTAAAGTTAAACCAAAATCAAACAAAGTAAAACCTTTAACTTAAACTTAGAGTCATTGTAAGCCCTTCCAAAACCCGAACCCTTATTCAAAACCAATATGTTAGTCTCCACAAGCAAATAAATAATATTCAAAACAAGTAAAGCAAGTCATATTCTTATAAAGACTAAACAAGATTCGCTCTTCACTCATTTCCCCAACATGGATATGCTGCATCACCTAAAAAGCTTCTCTTTATTCTATCCCCACTACTCGCCATACAATACCACATAATAGGGAATAAAGATCGCCTAAACAATCAATATAGATCGCCTCTAAGGCGCTCTTCTGAGGGGGTGCCTTATAAAGTTTATAAAACGCCTCTAGAAGGCGTTCTATATCTAACACAATACACATCGCCCATCCAAGATAGGCGCTTCTTATTTTACATAAAAGGTAAATAAAAAACAAGGAAAAGAGAGTTGTCAATCTTAGTACAGACGCTCTATAGATTTATAAAAACCAAATGCCTATCATAGATAGGCGTTCTTTATTCCTCACCTTTTTAATTAAAAAAAAATTAATAATAATAATAATAATAATAATAATAATAATTCACGTTATAAATAAAAAAACCATAACAATAAATTTTATTTTTCAAAAAAATTAAAATACAAGTATATGAATGATAATAACTAAATTCTTTAAGGAAAAAAAATTACAATACAAGTTTTCTAACACAACTAATTAATTTTCAATGTGCTAACAACGACTTTAGAAGTGCATCGACTTGAATTGCCATCGAAAGTCGAAACCTCTGCACCAACCACACCACTAGCAGCGCTTCCACCAATCTCAACCACCGCATAGCCTCCACCAACCTCTAAAGAAGTCGCACCAAACACCTGCAAATGAAAAGATGAAAAATCAGAAATTAATCCAAATTATAACATATAAATCAATTGATAAAAGATAAAAATCAGAAATTATTACATGAAAATCAATTGATAAGAGATGAAGATTAGAATTATGCATGAAAATTAGAAATCATAAAACATGAATATCAATTGACAAAAGATGAAAATCAGAAATTATAACACAAAACCAAACACCAAAAGATCTAAAATAATTGAGAAGTAAAACGAATTTTAAATTGAAAATCAAAATTTTGAATTAGAATTAAATCATGTACTATAGATCGATTAAAAAAAAAAACATAAAACTCATATAAATCACTTTAAAACAACCAAAAAACGGAATTAAACATTGAAATTCGAACACAAATGAGATTACACTTCATATACCTTTATGCATCTTTAGACTTTATAATCCGTTTCATAGCAGCAACACCTCATTACAACGCATCCAAATTAAACGACGACGGCTTATCCGGCTCGATCTACGGCGGCGTTGCAGTGAAGCATTACCAGTTCATTGAAACTGATTTGAATGAAATCCATTGAATTCATTTTCCGGCTCCAAACCCTCCACATTTCTTCGATCTGCAATTCTCAAATCTAGATTGAATGCAATCGAATTTAATTTTTGAAACTTTGAGGGAAATGATACAAATGACCATGCGTTGATCTTGATTTAAAACCGAAAAATAGATTTACTTGCCTAATTATGATTTTTATTTTTAGTTTGAGAAGATGAGATGAGAGGAGAGGAGAGAAAGAGGAATGGAGATGAGAAGAGAAAGTGGAGAGAGAAAAAAGAGGGGAAGGGAGAGCGGCGTGCGGGTTGAGGGGTAGGTTTTTATTACATAGGGTAAGATTTTTATTTTTTATAATTATACTAAAATCTTATAGACCGGTTATCTAAGTCAGGCGATCTATATCCATAGTCATATTTTTTGATATAAATTATATAGAACGGTTAACATGATAGGCGCTCTATAGGTCTTAATTACAAAGCGCTCATCTTACATAGGCATTCTATAGAATGCTAGAGATCACCCATCTAACTTGACAGCTCTATATTATGTGTTATGTATTCTCTATTTTGTGGCAGTGATAAGAAATGAGCAGTCATAGGGCCAAGATAAAGACAAGGCCAAGCAAACACAACAATCAACAATGATGAGTACATAAGCGTAAACGAAACACTAACATGCATTCACCCTAGCAACATATAACTTACCTTTAGCTCTGAGTTCAACACACAACTATTAACACAAATCACAAGACAACTAATAATTTATTTAAATTGATTACGCATCGAACGAGTTTCCCCCAAACCTGCCCCATTAAAGGGGTATTAACACGGGAGCTAATCTACTAGTATAAAATGAACCACTCGAAGGTGGCGGAATTCCTGCGTATAATAAAAAAAGGAAAGTACAACGTCTTTGTAGGCGTCACTCGAAGCACGCCTACTTAAGCATGTGTGAATATGCTTGGCAATCATAGGAAGTGGGAATTGACATAATACGATTAAGGACAAAGCAAAGTAGGGAGCCGCCAACAAGATTTTAAGGAACTTGTAAACCGTTCACGAATTATTTAAGGCAACCATGATTAAGGGACAACGATAGGCAACAACGATTAACCCATGAAGGTTACACCCCATTCATAATCCATGAGATTACTACCTGTACTCCGTATGGTTCGGAACCCGAAAGAAGGATCGGGGATGATGGTACGAAGTGAGTCATGGAGTCACATTCACCTGTATTGGCCTCTACTCGATTCTTATTGTGAAAAGTATTCCTGTGATTTCAAAGGCACACAATACAAAAGTTCAATTTGCTCCAAACTAATATTAGGCTAAATTGGTTGAATGTTAATTCAACATATAATTCTAAATATCGTGATCACTTCAATTAACAACAAGATTAAAAAGGAACCTAAACCGGTCGTCCAAATTATCTTATTAAAAATAAATTACATATTCCCTTTAACATGCAATATGGTGATCAATCGATAACAATAGAATAACAAAAACATTGGAAGCAATTTAACCATAAATCTAACAATTAATATATGACAAACATAATAAAAATCGTTAGAAATATAACAGGAACAGAAGGAACATGATTCCTTACTTTGATTGTGTTTGCTTGCAACTATAAAATAATAAACATGTTAGTAACTTCAAGGAAAATAAATAATACAATGGAAATTAATTCAAATGAAAGTAAAGTTGATTTGAGGCCAAACCCTCAAACATTTCTACCTTTCACGCCTTGGTTTAAGAGAATAGATTTTCGGGAAAAGTACGGACTTCGGGTAGTGCTTAAGGGATGAATTGTGAGAATAGGGAAGACAAGTATTTAGGCTAGATAATAAGAGAGAAAGAGAGAATTATTTGGTGCCCCGAAACTGTGAAATCAACCTCGTATCTATAGAAGAAATGTGAGGGGTGACGTTCGGAACCCTAGAAATGAGGCGCGACAACAAAATAAATCACCGTGGCACAACATTTATGCCGTGGCATGGTACAATCTGCCATGTGACGACATTTCTGCCGTAGCTCTGCAGTAATCTTATCATTTTGAAAGTCAAAACCGCGTAAAAAGATAAAACCGGATCAAAGTAATTGCCGTGGCACGAAAAAACTGTCGTGGCGCGGAAATTGTATTTCTGGAAAATTATTTTAAATTCATTTTTATCTTATTTTCTTTATAGGCACATGACAATTAGGCGTTGTTTCAGCTATTGCGGACTCATTTTAGGTTTAGGGTTTTATAATATTTTTTAATTGGGCTCAATTAATAAATAAATGAAATGGATTAAAATGGTTTGGGCTGAAATGAAAATTGGTCAACACTTGACTAAATACTTGGAATGAAAATGTGGACTGATTTGTAAACTGTGTATGATTGAAAAAGGATTTTAAGCACTCTCGAGATTAAATACTCAACCCGACCAATAATGGCGGTGAAAGGTTGTTCATCATCGGGTTTGGTTTTGGGGAGACATTTTTAGATGTCTACAGAAGCCCCCACTTTGATTGAGTTTGTAGAAAAGTAAGTTTCGAAAACAATAGTCAAAGTAGTCGATTGGGACGGAGAATGATTTTAGACATTCTGCGATCCTAAATCACTCTATATATGTCGATACCTGTAGAAAAGTGTTAGTTCCACAGATAAAAGAGTAAAGTGATCAAATTGCGTCGGTACCAAATATGTTTGGTAGTTTTCTGCGCCTCGAAAAATCTACCGGTTGCGAATGATAGGCTTCCGCGCCTCAGGTATCCTATCATGAACCACTACGCCTCAAGCGATTCACTGAATAAACGGTGACAAGCTTCTGCGCCTCGGGAAACATGCCGTAGACTCTTGTGCCTCGAGTAGTCAACTAAATGATGATCTTCCGCGCCTCGGGAGGAATGATGAATGATAGTATTTCGCGCCTCAGGAATCCTATCGTGAACTCCTACGCCTCGAGTAGCTCACAAGTGAAATTTCGTGCCTTGGGAATTACACTAAAAAAAAGGGTTTCCGCGCCTTGGGACACAATTACAGACTTCTGCACCTCGAGAAGTATGCAACGATTGACCATTTTCCACGCCTCAGGAAAACATGTATGATGATGAAAGATTACAAGCCTCTATGCCTCGAGAAGCTTGTAATGTGAGTATGAATAGTAACCGTCTGCGCCTCGGGATGATCACTGAGTGTTGATAAATGTGCCTTCGATTGGCTCCGAAGAGAAATGATGTTCGATTATCTCCGAACAGAAGCTGTGGATGATGATAATAGCGTCTTCAAGTCATGTGCATCTGACTGTTTGGGCGTTGGTGATGATGATGAAATGTCGATGATTGCACCTTCAAGTCATGTGTATCTGACTGTATATGTGTTACTCGATACCTCCAAGCCATGTGCATCTGACTGTATAGGTATTGGTGGAGAAGAGGGTACGACATTGTTCGATTGTCCCGAACAGAGGTTATTTGCTCGATTGTCCCCGAACAGAGGCTGATAATATGGTTGTTCGATTGTCCCCGAACAGAGGTTGTTTGCTCGATTGTCCCCAAATAGAGGCTGGTAATATGGTTGCTCGATTGTCCTCAAACAGAGGCTGTTTGCTCGATTGTCCCCAAACAAAGGCTGATAAAATGATTGCTCGATTGTCCCCAAACAGAGGCTAAAGATATGATTGTCTGATTGTCCCCGAATAGAGGTTGTACCTGAGACCTGCAAAATGGAATTTGCCAAAGGACTCGTATAGAGAGTGATTGACTCAAGACTGAACAAACTAACTTGACATGACATGTGTATGACTTGTGATTGTATGTGTTTGTGTAAAAATTGAGTGTGTGCTTGCAGGCACATGCAAATTTTTTTTGTCACGAGTGGTGGGTACCGACTTTCTCCCGAAAAAGAAAGACGTGAAAAATGAAGTTTTCGAACTTCCCCCAATAAAATTTTGAAAAAGTTTTTTGAACTTTCCCAAAAGAAGAAAATTTTTTGAACTTCCCCAAAAGAAAAAAATGATGAAAAATGGGAAAAAGTTTTGAGCTTTCTCGTTGAGTATGATAGAGCGATGCGAGGTGAATCGCATGGATTTTCTTCTTGTCGAATTAAATCGCTCGTCTTGAAAATAATGTATGCATAATGAATGTTCTTAGGCCAGGAGGATAAGGACAGTTACATCATATGACGCGATCAATTAATGAATGTACTTAGGCTAGGAGGCTAAGCTTAGCATAACTGTCAATGTATGTTGCTTAGATTAGGAAGCTAAGCATCATACAAAAATCTTGATAAACGTTGCTTAGGTCTAGAAGCTAAGCAAGTATGTAATGTATGAACGTTGCTTAGGTCAAGAAGCTAGGCAAATATACAATGATGATCGTTAAATACTGTCTTGCAAGATGATGAAGCATGCACATTGATGAAACAAGATTTCATGGTAAGGGATTCCTAAGAGAAGGATGATATGGCCATGTATATGTGAATGTAGTGTATGACAGTGATATTAAAGTTAGGCTACAAAGGCTATCGTTGGAAAAAGATGTAAGAAGAGTTGAGATGGTGACTCTTTAGGCTAGGTAGGTTAATGATGTGGGTTTAAGCCCCCAAGGCTAGCTCTAAATGGATAGGGATGAGCATTGGAGATCATTTGACACGATCATGCATTAATATGGATGTGGATTAGAGCTATCAACTCGGGTATTCAAGTCGGGTTTGGGTAGGGTGAAATTAGGTCTCGGGTCAAATCAAGATCAGGTTATGTCAGGTCAATCTATCCTCAGAATCAGGTTTAGATTTGGGTCGAATCAATTTCGGTTCAGGTTATTCCAGGTTGTTCACCCTTTCGAGTGTAGGTCGGGTTCGAATCGAGTCAAATTCAGATCGGGTTCAATTTCAAGTTCGGGTTGTGTTGAGTCAAGTTTGGGCGGGTTAATAGCTGATACATTCGGGTTCGGGTTAGGGTTGAGTCAGATAATTATTTGGCCGGATAATCTTAAAGTTGGATCATTTTTTGGTTTTGGTTCAAGTTCTATTCGAATAAATATCGATGTGGTCAAGTTGAACCTAAATAATTACGCCTTCCATAATTTGATCAGACATTATCAAGATTTTATTAAACCTATGTACGAAGTAATAGAGAACAAATGGTATATAAGGTGAACAAATTGTACCAATATGTTGTTAGGATTGAGGGTTTACTGAATTGTACCAATATATAAGCTGAAGAAAAGGTATATAAATTTTTTATTAAACCTCCCATGACTCGGGTTAATAACAGGTTGTGCAGGGTTATAACCGGTTTTAGGTTCTAATTGGGTTGGGTACTAGTTCGGGTTCGGATTGTTGTCGGGCTGGATTAAATCGGTTGACGGTTACTATCAGGTCGGGTGTAAGTTCGAGTTCAGGTCATAAAGTATTGGATCAAATCGGGTGTC